TAAAAGTTAGCCGTGTCTGATTTTTATCTTCAAAGTGACCAAGTGCCAATTTTTAAGAAAACTATTGACTGCTTCTTGTTTAACTTGGCTCACTTCACAGTAAAGTAGAGCAAACATTTTTTGTGATATAGAAAATTTGTTGCTGCCCAAACATTTTTTGTATATGTCTATTTAAGTTTTTAGTCAAAACACATAAAACTGAACATTTTGTAACATTGTAATTGATATTTTCTCATTCTGGAATTTATTCAATATTAACCATAAATCTTTTGGGTTTTGTTGGCCAAGCTAGATTTTTATTTCTTGTTTTTAGTCATTAGGTTACCGAATAGCAAATGTATAATTATATGGTTTTCAGGCCTTGTTAAGGTTGCCAAATACGTTAGTATGTAATATTCTTGAGAAAAATGTAATTATTTATTAGATTCTTATATGTAGGATATGCACGTTTGAAGATTGTGCAGTTTCAAAGGCAGGTATGTATCTCATAACTATTATCATTTGGCTGTTTCATTAAACCCGTATTTGCTACAAAAATGTGTATATTTTAGGCTAATCGTATGATAACATATAGAATAAACATTTTTATTCCTAAAAATTATACACACACGTATTACACGTATTACTTTTAAATAATACCTCTCTTATTTATGCTGATTGTAGCACTCTTAGGATATTCCAGTTTTTGTTTGAATACATGTAACCTGCAAAATATAATGTTGAATCACTAATTAACATTTCTGAACAATTTTAAGCATAAAATTAACAAAGATATCTCATTAGGCTTACACAAACCTGTTTCAAAAAATATCAATGGTATTCATAACAACAATTTAAAGCCAGTATTCATGAAAGACCTCAAGCTTTTTTGTGTTGATGAATCTGCTGATACTTCGAATTTGTGAATTGCTTGATTGGGGTGTTGTTTTGCAACCCATTGTGTGGGTATATATAGGGGCAGAAGGGAGTGTCAAATGAAGCAAGCATTAAATACAGTGTGGGTATTAACCATAGGTGAATACAGTGTGCTGGCCGAGCAAGCAATATGGATTTAGATTTGAAATTTCAAATGTAGTACATGGCATTCAATGTTTGTGCGGCTCGATAAAAAATAAATCATGCATCCAGATTCTTTATTCAGGCCAAGAGATTTCAAGTACAATGTATGTCCATTTTTTAGTATTAATTCACAGCCTTGATGTAGTACAATGCATTGAATATTTGAATGGCTGTGGAGTACATTATCTTGAGCCACAAAAACTGCAGCATGCATTGGATATTGAAGTCAGCAGTACAATTTATATTCTTTTTTTATGCATAACAGCAGCCTATATTCGTAAAAGAGGAGAGAGAATAGTCTACCAAATAAGACTTTTAAAGAGACATTAAATGCGTTACCTTGAGCCACACAATAGAAATCATTGGATATTGGACCAGCATAAAAGGACAGCATTGGGCTTGCCCAGGACCCGTTTCCACACCCATGGTGACCCGACCCGACCCAATAGTGAACTGCATTTGGGCGGGAACACTGTTCATTTTTTCTTTTGTCTTTGTATAATAGAAGATTGGTAAAAAGAATCACTTGAGACAAATTGGTAAAAAAAAGGCCTAGTGACAAATTGGTTACTTTTTTGCGAGTGATAAACTTTTGATCATCGATTTTAGAATTTTCAACCTTTCATATTCTAAGTATTATGAAATCGACATTTTCGGTCCTTTTACTTTGATTTTGTCATCAAAAGTGAGTCTAAAAATGTCAACGACTATGTTTAATAATAACATTTGTCTGGTAGCTAATAGCCGGTTGAATCAACGTATTGATAATAACGGATTCCGTTAGCTTTTTTTTAACTAATTAACCGCTTTCATTAGCGTTTGAAATAAAATGTTAGTAACATAATTGTTGGCTATTAAATGTTAAGACGTAAAATGACAATTAAGATATGAATTTAAAAGTATATATTTTATCTTAACTTTATTTATTTTATTTTTAAAAAGTGAAAAGGTTTTAAAAATTATATTTACATTTATTTTAAATAACCATGGAGTATTTTTTTTTAAAAACTAATAAATAGTCATAGTAGAATTTTGGGGTAGATTTTTTAAATGGAGTAAACTTAAAAAAACTAATAGATAGTCATATTAAAAATATTATTACTAAAAATATACTGTAGGAATTTATAAGTGTTTGCTTGCATTAATGTACATCTTTAAAATGATACGATTAGTAATCATTTAAAATAAATGTAAACATAACTTTTAAAACTTTTTCCAAACTTATTAAAAATAAAAAGAAATAAAATTAATTTAAATATATAAACTTTTAAATTCATTTTTAATGGTCATTTTACGCTTGAAAAACTTGTAAATTTCAAGTTACTAACATTTTATTTCAAACCGCTAATGAAAGCAGTTAGTTAAAAAAGTTGATTAATCCGTTGATATCAATTTGTTGATTCAACCGGTTATGATCTAGCAGACAACTAATATTATCAAACACGCGCATTGACATTTTTTGGCCCACACTTTTGATGAAAAAGTCAAAGTAAAATGATTGCAAATGTCAACTTCACAATTCTTAGAATATGAAATGTCTGAAATTCTAAAGTTGAAGATCGAATGTTTATCACTCACAAAAAATTGACCACTTTGTCACTAGGTCTTTTTTTTTACCAATTTGTCTCAAATGATTTTTTTATCAATCTGTCCAATGACCTGTTTTTTTACCAATTTGGTAATTTGGCCGTTATTTTGTTTGTGCAAATTTTGTACAAACAAAATATTATCTGTGAATAGAACTCATAGACAAAAAAACTCTGAACAAACATGAGTGAGTATAAATGTGAGTATAAGATTTCTATAGTGCATGGGCTATAAAAATGTTTTGAGTGTTTGAAAATGTTCGGTTATTTCACTTTGGGGAATTCTATTGACAGCCTACTTTTGCTAAATACACACCCGTATACATCCGTAACCGACGTTATTTTTCTTAATCACAATTATACCCTTAGAACTTAACGCCCGTCGAGTTCAATCAAACGCCTACTCATTTCCACAATTCCACATGCTCCAGACATTTATTTATCCATTGTCTGAGCTTTTCCAAAAAGAAGAGAACCGAGAAATCAGATACCAGCTAGAAGGAGAAGACAACTTCTTGGATTTCGAAGCTCTCTTGATAAGGCGAAACGACTGAGTTCAGTCCATAGATATCCCCGACCAGTAAGGCGAAAAGAGATCAAATCTGGAAGTGAAGCTAGCACCGTGTAGTCGCCCACCGAGAAGGAGAAGACCAGTTCTTGGACTTGGAAGCCCTCTCGAGAAGGAGACTAAGAAGAAAAAGTATTCCAGAACGTACATCTTCAGTTACCTAGCTCGCTGTTGTGTCTCTTTGGAACAGGTAGTTTTTGAAATTGTCTCATATTTTCTTCCACTTGAACCGGAACAAGTAGTTGTCGAATTGATTTGGCATTGAATTGAAATGGGTAGGAGTTTGTAGTAATTTAGAAAAAGGGATGGATTGAAGTCAATCTCTTCATGTGAAGTTTAAAAGAAAATTCCCTACTTCGTTTATCTTTATCAGCCAATCCAGTAGTTGCTTCATGAACCTAATGTTAAATTGTGATTAAAGAAAAATTATGGATGGTTGAACCCAGTATAAAGGGCAAAAAAACAGGGATAGTTTTAGCTACGATTCTCTGTTGTCAATGGAAAAATATTGCCAGAAAGTTTGCTTACATCTGATTGTGGGTATTGTTCCTAGTCAAGAGCTGATTTAACACTTAATGCAGATAACCACATTATAGTTCTCATTTGTAAATTCAGCAGCAATATTTGCATTTATAGAACTCTCCTCCCAGTCTTCTAAGATGCTTTCAGGATCAATTCAGTCCATAAGAACTGCCTTCCCAATTTGTTTATTTAAATGTTATATGCAAACCCTATTTCACCTAATATATACAGTCATAGGTTGCAATGTGCAAGTTCCCGACAATAAAAGATGCAACAGGTGGTGAAACCATGCCATGATGCTCTCTGGAATTAAGGCCAGAATACTCTGAACTGCATTTTTCACAAATTGATGGTTCTAAATAGTTATTTCCCTTTAAAGAAAAATAAAAACTAACTTCCTAGGCAATGTCTTGAGAAGTGTTGCTTATTCTCATAAAAACTAACTAGCAGTTGAGGCATACAAGAAGGACATTCTAGTTTCATTTATCAAGATTGGGCAGGTCTATTTTGCTACATGTTACACCATTCTTTAACTGCTATCATTCTTTTACTTGTGGTGGCAGTTCAGACTTGTAGGTGTAGCAACCACACCGGCCATAATTCTTACCCAATGCATTATTGATACTTTGTCCCTTTCACATGCCCTCCAAAATACTCTGCACTTTGAATAGAGTTCGAAGATCATACTGAGTAATTCAGAGCAGTAATATAAAATTGATTTTATAGATAGACCAAAAATCACATGCTCATTCAACTTGACTGAGAAAAACAATGGCTTCAAAATGGGAAGAAAATCTCCTTCGGCTTCCCCACTCAATAAATTAAACTAAAGCAAAATTGATAAACACGTACTCTATAAAATTTAAGTACGTACTTGAGAAAACTGAAATACGAGCAGGTCGGCGTGACTGGCGTGAGAGGTCCGCGTTCTGCGTTTTGGACGATCATTAATGAGAGGTTAACGTTCTGGCCCTCACTTAACGATAGTTATGTAGAGTGAGGGTAGTTTAGATAATTGAGATATTTTTATTTATTATTATTTAATTAAGTGCCTGTGTTTAGTAAAAATGGGCTGTGAATAGAATTATCCTTTCACTTTTTGGGCTGACTGCGCGATTTGGTCTAGGTAAGGGGGCATCTTTTTTTAGTGGAAATATCTCGTGAAGTCCACCTTTTCTAATTGCATTTCGTTTATGTCCCCTGAGAATTTACTTTTCATTTGTAGACTTTCACTTTTTCAATTTTAATTTTATATTTCAAAAATGACCCAAGTCTTAAACAAAACCCCCAACCAGATATCGTTTCAGAGAGCGCTGAACAGAAGATTGAGACGTGTATGGAGGTTTCCGGTCTCCCGCCTAGTCCCGGCTGCACCTGCGGCCTCCGCCCTCTGTGGCTCCCACCTCCACTCTCTGTGGCTTCGTCCTCTGCCCTCCGTCCTCTGCGGCTCCGCTTTCCATCATCTACCCTTCGCCTTTGCTTGCTCGGCTACTCAGATGCTAGATGAATCACGACTTAACTGTGTGTTGGTTTCCGAATTGCAGGTATGGACATTTCCATTCATCACTTGGATCTCCAATTTGAACAATTATTTCGTAGGATTATGATATTTTTTGTGGTTCTAACTTCCAAGATAAATAGCATAAACCCCTGTTTTTGAGATTTTTCCGTAATTGATGGGATTAGATACCTTGTGACAAGTAATCTGTATCCCTAGACTAGAGCTAATAATCCATGACGGTTTTCATTTTAAACTGTAATTGAACTACTTCGTTTAGCTTTTTGTTCGCAGTTTTCCTTGTTTTTTTGCTTGCGGAGATGATTGTGGCTTTGTGAGTTCTCCATTCTTCTCTCTTATTGATTCGAAGAAGGCTAACAGGTCATTTTTAAAATTAACCATTGTGTTTGTCAGAATTGTTATTGTGATTTTTTTTTTATCTATTTGCCTATTTGTGTTTATTTTCAACTTTCTTTTTCAAACATATGTTTGTTAAAAATGTTTCTTCATCCAGACCATTGAGATTCTCTCAGCTGCTCCATCTCCCGAAATAGCATTGAGGTTGTACTTCAAGTGTGCGGAGGTACTTAATTTACCTATGTTTTGCTATATTTTATTCAAGGGTCATCTATGGATTTAAACGTATGAGTAAAATGATGTCTTGAATTACTACATTTTGCTATAAACTCTCAATTTACAACTTCTTATGTTTTCTCACGACACATACATTGCTCATAGAGAAACATTCTTTATAGGTTGCTCATAGAGAAACATTCTTTATAGGTTTCTGATGATATGCACCCAACCAGAATATCTAGTAGCCTGAATAACTAAAGTCTGCTTAACATTTTTTTTTCTTTCATGAGGATCTGCTTAGTTTGTGGTTGTAGCTAAAATAGTGAATACATTTTTGAGTAATTGGACTTTGTATTTAACCAAATCTCACTCCCATTAATAATTTTGTCATGAAATGGATTATAGAATGTTGGTAAATCCAGTTCAACTTGTCTTTTGTGATGGCTGAGAGCAATTACTTATCTTCAGTGCTTTTAGGATTTTTTCAGTTAACACATGCCTCACAAATTTTTTGATCTTATGGATAATAGAATAGGTGCCAAAGGTCACTGATATTGGTCTCAAACCAAAGGCCGGTGAAGAAGGTTGCTATAGATGGTGGAGGTCTAATGAGATCTGAAAAATATATACATGCAACACTTCAAGGGTTTTGAGGTGGATCTTAGGATTTTGATTAATTGCACTTGTCATTGTATAGAATTTGACATTTAATTTAGTGTAAACCTAATGATGGTTCTAATATTACATGTTCTAATTGATTATGCAGCAATTTTGCTATTGTGGCTAATTTTGAGGACTTTGATCTGGCAAAAAATGAAGTATTTGGAAGCACTTTTTTGTCCTACTTGAACTTTGAATGTTGCGACATGTCAATAGGATGCTGATATAAAGCTCAATCGAAAGTTACACCATTGGTTTTTGCGAAACTGCTCATTTGATATGCCTATTGCATTTTCTTAAGTGTCTATTTGTTGATATACACTTGTAATAGTCATTGAATTGCTTATTCCACAAACATGCACCGTGTAATTTATGGTCTTTCTGCATCGTGAGCATATGTTTACTTGCAATGACATTGAAATAATAGATTCATTACATATTTATTGTGATGCTTTTATATATTTTTTGTTTCTTTTTGTTGCATTGTGTGTGTTGCTTTTTGTTGCACCATGTTGCTTTTTGTTGCATCATGTTGCTTTTTGTTGCATCTTGTTGTTGTTTGTTGCATAATGTTGCTTTTTATTGATTTTTGAACTATAGCTTTTATATTTATGTAATTTATTGTTTATCTATGTTTTCAATTGTATGTAGTAACTTTTTCTGTATGCAATATGTATATATATAAACACCTAAAATGACAAATTTGGAATTATGAATATTAGAAACAACTAGAAACATGGTGAAACAATAAAAAACCAAATCAAATAAAAGTTATCAACAAAAAGAAACACAAGGAAACAATATTCTATGGAACTAAAAATAAGAGGATAATTATATTTTAAAATATTTAAAAATTATTGAATTAAAAAATAAAATTCTAATTTGTTTCAATTTTGATTTTTTACATGTTCAACATTTTTAAGTCTTCAATTTTTTTTATTTTCTATTTTTTAATATTTTACACTTTTTATAATTTACATTAATTTTCTGATATTGTTTTACAATTTATGAATTATATTTTCTATTTTTGTACTTTAAAAAATATTCTAGATTCTTTAATATTTTTTTTTACTATGGATTTATTCAAATTTAAAAAATATATTCTTTCATAAATATTAATAATTACATTTCATACTTTTTAGTTGTTCCAAAATATTTTTATCTAAATTTTACATTCTTATAATTTTTTTTAACTATTTTAAACTTTTATATATTTGTTACTGAGTTTATTATGGAGTATATTTTAATTTTATATTTTTTTTCTGACTTTATTGAAACTTAAATTAATTTTCTTTTAGTTTTTAAATTTAATTTACAATTTTTAACCTTGAATTTTTTTATAATGAACTTTTCATTTTTTGTTTCTAACTTTCAATATTTATGTCAATTTTAACTTTTGAAAATTTCACTTTAACTCTTTTCTTTTTTCTTTTTATTAGTTTTTTATGACTTTTATTTCTAGTATTAATTTTCAAAATTGATTATTTCTCTCCGGTATTTATTAGAGTAAGTTATTTTCGTATCCATGAACATTAAAATCTATTTATATTTTTGTTAACCTCATTTTTTATTTTGTGTGTTTTATATTTCTATAATTTTTTAATTAATTTTCATATTCTCTTACCATTTTTTTCGTTTTATAACGTTGTAATCAAAATTTTCTACGATTCTTGGATTCTTTTTATAATACTTTGGTTACTTTTTTAAAAGTTTTTCCCAATTAATTATCCTCTTACTGTTCATTTGCTTTGAGATGCGTGGACATGATTTGTTAAATGTGTACGGACGTACGGTTACGGTTTTAGGAGGACTGGAGCAAGTTTTACGCATTTAGACTATTATTGAAAAGAAACGCGTTGTGAGTCTATTTTTGAAATCAAATTTTAAAATTGATAAAAATGATATTATTTTATCCTTTTGGCTTATTCGTGTAAAATTCCCCTTTTTTTATTGTGGTAATATCCCGTCTAGTCTACTTTTTGTAATTCTATTTCACTTATGTCACCTAATGATTTCTCTTTCATTTAAAGACTTTTGACTTTTCAATTTTATTTTTTTAATTTCAAAAGTAACCTAATTAAATGCGAGATCATGAATCACCTCAATCTTCTTCATCCATCTTCATGATATACTTCGTATCAAACTGCACCAGAGAGACGATGCGGCTGTTCTCTTTCCACCCACCTTCGACTGCGCCTCCATTCTCCGCAGATCTGCCCTCCTTGTTCATCCATTCTCACAAAAGTTAGAGACGTTCGCCTTTGTCCCCTCCCCCCCCCAGCGGCGTCTCCACTCAATCTCCGATCTGTGGCCTCCGCGGCTCCGCCCTTCGCCTTTGCCTGCTCGGTTGCTCCTCTAATCGTTGCCTGATTCCCTCACTGCTTTCAGATTTGCATGTATGTATGAAATTTGAGAATTTTACCTTCACTGTAATTGTTGTTATAATTTATGTAGTTAAGACTTATTTCTTGTTTCCGATTTTGTTTTGTTTTACTTTCTGCTTTATTTTTGTTATAATTGCCTTTCAGTTTAAAATCCCCACACCACATGACACACATGAATTTCAGATTGGAGTATTTTTCCTTTACTATTTATTGTATATTAATGGTACCCCTCACATTTCAATCAATTAAAGCTCAGAAATCATGTGTCCCTCTATACGATTGCTCAGAGTGCATTGATAGAAAGGTACTAGAGCTTCTCATCTGCATTGTGCTTGTTTATTCTATCTTATTCCTATCTTCTCTTTAATATGAAAATATAACTTTGCAGACGCTAAGTAATACATGATCTGCTGCTCTTCCAAATGAAAAGATATACACTGAGTTGCTTGATTTTGCTAATATTTGTATTGTAATGATCTGAGTTGCTTCATTTTACTGATATTTAAAATGATTGTAATGATCTTTCTTTATTGATGTAGGGTACTGACTTTATTGTAACATGTTGCAACAAAAAGAAACATTAGGAAACAATAGCAAACAAAGAATTGTAAGAAAACTGAAATCTAATTTACTAAAGTCACCTCCATTGCGGGATCTAATTTTCAAAAGTAGCTAACTATTACTGCTGCTTTTCCAAATGGCCATACTTTGTAAGGTTAAACATTATGCTGAAATCTAGAAATTAGAAACTAGATTGTAAACATTTAAACATTATAATCTCCAAGAATTGAAATGTTTCTACCTTTACTTTTATATGTGGGAAGGGGTTGTGGTGCTTATTGATGTATTCCGGCTCATAATTTACCCTTTTCTCACTAATAAAGATTACCGGTTGCATTTTGTAAGTCAAACCTTAACTTTCTATCTGTCAAGTTCTAAGTCAGACTTGCCCGCTTAATCACTTTTTTATTTTATTTTTCTTATTAATATAGCTTGTCTTTTGTATATGCATCCTATAAATGTTGTTTGCCTTTTGGCCGAAGTTGCTTTAAATCGCATATTGAGTTGATTTTCCTTGATCAATCTCCAACCCAATAAGACAACTTAACTAGCGACTAAAATTGATTATTTACTTTCAGTCTTCTTAATGCCGCCTGACCTTTTTTCTCTTTTCAAAGACAAATGAAGATGGGGAAGCATGTTTCCCACTTTTTAATGAAATTATGACTACTGGATAGGCATCAGAAGGAGTTATTGCAGTGGAGGTTGAGCTTGCTGAAGCTTTGAAGGCAAAGACCAAACCAAACATCATCTGCAGGTAGTATTCTACTGTCTTTGAACTTTTGGTTTCTAGACCAACTAAGAACCCAAAATAGAGTCAAATCATTACAAAGTACCAAATTCATATGGGAATGTGTTTTTTTCTGCCTCATTTCTTTAGGATAAATTACAATAGTAAGACATGACTATTGACCTGAGGATATAATGACTGATATACAAAAGAAATTTCATTTGGCAGGCCCTATATGTGTAATGCTCAAATCAGTCCCTGATCAGAGGAGAAATGAACTCAATATGATCGCCTCGCTTCATAATCCTCACCTGGCTCACATCCCCATTGTCGTCACTCCCAGCAACGAGTGCCAACATCCGAGCGAAAATTGCCTATGCCCGAGCTGCAAGCAAGTGTTCTGTAGCCAATTCATGAACAAACACATGGGGGAGCATCATCAAAGGATGAATCGGACCATAGTGCTTAGCTTTACTGATTTATTAGTGTGGTGTTTCTCTTGCGATGCATATTTCGATGTACCGGCCATTCAAGCGTTGCATGTTGCTCATTTACGTACATATGTCCTGAAATTCAAAAAAAAACTCCTCCACTCCCTGGAAATGAGCATATTCATTTGGAAAACAGCAAGCTTGAGACTTCCATCTCTGGAAACCGATCTAATTGATCTCGATTCGAGGGATTTAGCTAGGATGTGCTGAAATAAAAGATGTTAGAGACATTTGTAGTTCAATTAGAAAATGGTATTAGAAAATGATCTTGTATGTACACTATAATATATTGCATAATGATAATTGTCATTCTTATCATGAATATGACAAAACAAATTTAAATGTGTGTATTGTATGTTGTTTATTCCTTTTTGTTTCTCTTTGTTTTATTGTGTTGCTTTTTGTTGCCTCTTGTTGCTTTTTATGGCATCTTGTTGCTCTTTGTTGATATTTGGTCAATACTTGATTTTTAATATTTTTCTTAATTTTTGTATTCGTGTTTGCAGTTATTTTTTCTATTTTGGTGCAAATACACTTTATACATGTGTTTGTGTAGTGACAAAATTGCATATAATATAAAAACACAAGAAAAAAAACAATAAAAAACAAAATATGAAAATTCATAAACAAAAGGAAACAAAAAAGTAACCATATAAAATATAATGCAACAAAAGGCAACATAAAAACAACAATAATAGTAATAATTGGTTTAAAAATAATTATTTACAATTTTAAATAATTTAACTTTTAAAAAATTAAAATGTGACTAGTTTAAATAAAATTACTTTCAAAAGTTATACTTTGTATTTCGTGATATTTATTATATTTTTTATTTTTTTATATTTAATTTATTATTTCTCAAGATTTTAATCTTAATTTCATGTTTTTTAAAAAACTTTAAGGTTATAGATTTTTAAATATTTTTTACTTTTTTATAATTTTTTTTGTTTTTTATACTTTGTAAATGAATTATATTATCTACTTAAAACACTACAACAAAAATTATTTCTCAAGTTTTTATTATTTAAGATTTCTACATGTTTTTATTTTTCTAACTTTATGCCGGGTGACGAAGCCCACATGCAGCACTCAACTTTTTTATTTTTTAATTAAATTAACTCATATACAAGTAGTTTATAATGCTTAGAAACGAAGCTGGGTGAAAAACGAAGCACTGATTCAAACACTAGCTAGCTGGGTGCAAGAATAATAAGAAATTTGAGTTCGGTGGATTTTGGTACACGTGGAGAGTCTATTTTTGAAAAGAAAGTTAGAAGTAATCTATATTTGAAAGAAACTTTTAAGGGTGACAAAAGTGATATTATTTTCACTTAGTCTATTTGTGAAAAATTCCCTTTTTTATTGGGGAATATTCACCAATGGATTAGAAGAGATTATTGGCTTTTATTGGGGCAGCTATAGATCCGCCCCTCCCTGATTTCGTCACCGACTACTCACCCACCCCAGCCGCGTCGCGGCACCGGCAGACGTCGTAGCAGTGGGTCCATCCGCCTCGCCGCCGTCGCCGGCCCTTTCTCTGCTTCCGTCGCAGCTCGACCAAGAGCCCAGTGAGCTTCCGCCATTAATGGCTGTTCCAGAGCTTAGCCCACGACGCAAGCAGCAACAACATCGAAGGGTTCATCCGGCTGAAACTCAGCACGGCCGTTCGTCTCCAGCTGCCAACCGGTGGTCACTCCGACTCGAAAGATTTCCTAGCGGGGATATCCTTGGTTTCCGCCATTAATGGTGGTTTGGAGCTCAGGAAAAGTACATTCGAAGCTCAGCAGATCTCTCACCGAAACCAGACCCTGTGGCAATCCTTGCTCCGCTGCAAATGTTCGTACCTCCGTCGGTAAGTAGCCGGCGCATGCAGTTTGGCCTTGGTCAGTGAGCCGGTGTTTTATCTGACTCTCCAAGAGATACTCCATATCCGATTCTTTGGTTCTGAGATGAGGCCATCAATCCTCTTATTTGGGCAGTCAACCAGCTTTCCATGTTCTTGTCTCCAAGAGCTAAGTACCCATACTTCTAAATTGGTACAATTAAATTATTGCTATTATTTGTTGTCCCCATTATTTATTGGGGAAAAAAATAATCAAAACACCCAAATCTTTGAAGGTGTGTGAATTAAACATCCAAACTTGCATATGTAATATAGGTACTCCAAACTTTATATAAAAAATTATTTTAGCACCATAGTCAAATATTATCTTTTTCAAAAATATAAATTTATGGTGTTAATTGCATATTTTAAAATGTTTTAACATTCATGAAGACACAATTAACATTTTTAACTTCCATGGTAAAATAAACAATATTATCCTCAATCTATATAGGTACAATGCTTTTAATTCTCTATTTTAAATTATGCAATTAACAGCATAAATTTACATTTTTGAAAAAAACAATACATGACCATGGTGCTTAAATAACGTTTTTATGAAGTTTGAGGTATTTCAATTACATATGCAAGTTTGGGGTGTTTATCTCACACCCATTCAAAGTTTGAGCTGTTTTAATTATTCCCCCCTTATTTATTAGGTGTTAAAATGTACCGAATTACACAACGTCGAGCCAAACTCAAGTGATAGACCCACCGTCATCTTTATCTTTATATTATATAAAGTAGCAAAGTCTGCAAAAGTTTTGGAGGCAAAATTGCTGCCCAAAAGAGGGGTAAAAATGTAATATATGCACTGCAAATATATAATCCCGCCCAGCCCATTACGTTATGCGTTGAAAGATTGAAACGTTTGCAATCATTTTACTTTAGGATCATTTATTTTATAATAATAACAATTTAATTCTTACCATTTTTAAACATGCATTCATCTTTATATCGAAAATAAACGTTGACTGCATATGTATGGCAAGATCAAATGATCAATACGTGTATTGATCACTAAGAATTATATGGTAAGATTTTATACGTGTATAAAATCAATATATATTTCAAAATTCAAATTCCAATTTGAAAAAGGAGAATAATAATACATTTTACACTAATCAATAATTTAATATCTGTATGGCAATTTAATACATAGTACATATTAGGACTTTCAAATACTTGCGATATCAATAATTTAGTATCTCTATGGAAAAGAAGCAATATCATGTGTATAAATTCACATGAAGAAGCATTTTGAGGCTATAATACGTTTTTGAAAGTCCTATGAATTTCAAGTCTGGAAGAATATCAATATATCCTTATCCTTATATAATATGAAGTAGCAGTGTTATTATAACTTTTGTCTCCAATTTTTCCGCCCAGTGCATGTGAAAGTAAAAGGAAAGCATATCATATGGATACTAAAATGTTAATAAAGGAAATATATAAAGTTATACTACGTAATATATATATTACCACGTTAATACAAAGACATCACAATTGGGAATATTAATTAAAGGAAAGTCTTAACATACTGTAGCCATCCGTTTCAATATTTCCAAATAGGCAAGCAAGCATTGATTCGAAAAGTGATGATAATTTTTTAATACTCCGTAATAAATAAATAAAACATTTAATACAAGAAATTAAAGTAATATGGGTTGTAATACACATCAACCGTTAACCATAATTCTTGAATACGGAAATAATAACAATAGCTAGAAAATATTATTCATAGCTTTATTCTAACAACCTAGGTGTTAAATAATATTAAAAGCCTTTGAATAAAAGTAAGAAATAGTTTTCTTATATAATCCACGGCTAATTTATAACAATGGTAATATTCCTACCTAAAATGTGGAAATAATAGTGAATTAATTAAAGAAAAAAGTAAATTTGGCAAGGAACATTAATTATTAACAATAAAAATTGACAACAGCCGTTTTTTAGAAAAGTGACAAAGAGGACATAATCAGTTGTGGTCCCACCAAAATAAAATCTCATGTTTTTTAAGTGTTGTAAGTTTTTTATTTGTACTCCGATTGTTACAAAAATATCAAAACTCATAACTTTTATTATCTTTCATATGACACCCCAATGTTTAATATACAAAAATGAAAATAATTTAACACTTTAAGAAATAATTTTTAAAGTAATATAACTTTTCTAACTGTACTCCGATTGTTACAAAAAAATGTATAAAAATTAATAACTTTCTATTATCTTTCATATGACACCAATGTTGATTATGTAAACGTAAAAAATATTTTAACTCTTAAAAAACACCTGCTTTTCAAAGTGCTATAATTTTATATTTGTAATTCGATTTCTTACAAAAAATTTAAAGTGCCATAATTTTATATTTGGAGGCGAAAGTTATACTTAACAAAAATATTGGTCAAAAGGTTTTCATTTCAAGATTATCATTCTTCTCATTGGATATCATAATAATTCCCTTTCAAATTTGAATGCATTAATTTCCAAATCATCATTTCATTTGCCAATTACAATCTTTGCATTAAGCAACATTATGGATAAGATAAAAAATTACACATGGTCAATTCTACCTTGCAATGCCAAGGGTTACCTTAAGGAGCCATATTTTGTACGTTGTAATGTCAAGAATCACCTCAAGTAGTAAGTTAAACATTCTTATATGTGATTAAAAAAGTCGTGCTATCAACATTATTGATAATATGGTTTATAAAAAACTTTTCTAAAAGGTATGATCTTTTTTGTACAGTGCCAACGTATATGACAATTCATTTTTATAAAGTTTCTTTAGGGCCATCGAAGGAGACACTTAAATTGTGGAATGTAATCATGGTATTTCTTTATCAAGTACTCCGTACTACTTATTCTTACATCTTACCTTTTAAATTTACTTGCAAATTTTCATACGATCAACATTTTGTTTGTCCTACAAACTGCCATTTTATAAGCAAACTTACAACACATAAACTCTACTATATTTTTTTACTTAAAACAATTGCATATTATGTACGACCATAATCAACATTAGTTTTAAACAAGTTTTTATTCTGCTCTAGATGTACCGTGCATCGCACGGGTATTGCGTCTAGTTTTAATTAAATGACTGAATTTTGTGGGCCCATCGGCCCACTACCGTTTGACTTTAGTAAGTGATCGGAGCGTCTCTGAAGGGCATTTTCCCGGTGACGTATTTTAAATTAGGGGGTGCACACGATCCCGCACGGCACCGAGTGCTCGGTTGACGATCGTACCCTTGTACCGTCTATGCCGCTAGGCGCGAAGTGACCAATCGCGGCCCGTGGGCCCCGGGAAAGCACCAATGCGCTCAACCAAATCTTTCCGAGGATAACGTGTTCTACGTGAGGCTGAGTTTCAATTTCACAAATCGACGGTTATTTCTACTTGACATCCGACAACCCACCAGGTGGCCCTGCCGTGGACAATTATGTCCAGAAGCCCCGAGTGATGAGGTAGGTACATGTCTGTTTTTTTTTTACCAAGAAGCAACTGAAAACACCTCTTTCCACTTTTGACTTGAAGTTGTTTAACTCAAAGTAAAAGTTCCCATTTAAAAAACATCAGTTTTAGCTTTCCAAAAGCTAAAAGCCAAAGAAAGTCCCTTTTAAGCTTATGCAAACATAGCCTTATAATTTTGCCAAATTTGATTGAAACGTGGAATAAGATAGTAGAATCTGTGTGATTGAGGTTTATGCAGATGAGCGATAATTAATAAAAACAAAAAATATCTAAAAGGAAAAGTGATAAAGTTAGTGAAACAAAAAAAATGACCATTTACCAAAGTTGTAACAAAGGTAGTATGTATTATAGAAATGAAGTTTAAACTAATTTGACTAATTACATTAAGATCCCAATTTGTGATATTTTTTGCCTAAACAGTCTTATTATCCATTTTTAACCAAACACGTAAATTTTTATTTCACGCACTGCAATGTGTAGTGAGCAGAATAAGTAAAGTTGAAATTACTTATTTTCTAGTTGAATTGGTAAAATTGAATGGTCATTTTAACTACTTTTATATAATTTTTATTTTATTTTATTAATAAAATATAATATAAATATAATTGTTTCACAGTTCGAATAATTTCACCGCTTGAAACAAATTTTAATTAATTTCAACATATCAGTCAATTCATCATATTTCAATTTTACCAATATAGGTCTAAAAAACATAACTAATTATTGCGGGTGTGTTTCTACACCATGCATATGTGTCGGAATAAGATATCCACAATGGAAGCAAATATGAAAATTTGAGCCGCCTAAATTAATTAGTCAATTTAGTGTTAGTATCTTTGGAAACCCAGAGTGTTTCTTGAATTCAAGAACACCCAACTATCTCACTTTGAAGCCCTGCTAATCCGCAACTTCTTGCCTCTAACAATTTTTTTTATCTCTCAAGCTAATCCGAGAGAGATATGTTGCATAGAAGCTGAGAGGATAGGAATGTTTAGCATGGTCGTTTTAGTCCATAGAGCGTTGAACGTTAGCATCACCGTAGTAGATGACGATGAGAATCTGATTAACAGGTGACAAAGTAAAGAACTCCCTTTCTATGAACCTGATCTGCAGCAGTTTATTCAGCCATATCATGAAAATAAAGTCATGTGCAGATACAATGTAGAAGAAGCTATTGGAATGACATAGCTCAACTTTTTAGCCATTGGGTTGAAAACTAAATAGGAAGATCTGGGGAAGGAGGATTATTAGAATATAATAAGTGGGCGAAAATGGTTTTGCAAATTAGGGATCATGCCAAGTGCCTAAAAGTGTGATAGACAAATTCGTTGTGCAATTTGAAATGTTCAACCATATTCGCAAGATGGTGTATAGTAATATATATGCAACCCAACATGACATCTTTAGCAACCCTGATTTTTTAGTAGGGGGACCGTCTTTCAAAACCTTTTAAATCCAGATAGAGTTGTACTGGGAATTAAAACCCCAGGCGGTCCTATAAAAGATATCATGCAGTTTTATGATTGGGTTGAGAGTAATCACATTAGGATTATTAATCATTGCAGTGGGGTGGAGGTGGGGAAATTTGCTAGCAAGTAGCAACATACTCCTTGGACCTCAACGGGATTATCAACAATATTATAACTTCTTTTAGTCAAAAAGTTGGTGTATATGTGTTTCATGTAATCAATGTTGCGCAAGGTGATAGGAGGTGGCACAGAATGCCAAAGCCTCATGGTGTTATAGGCGGAGACTCATTGCAGAGGGACATACAATTTGTTGCGTATCTGTGTGAGGAGCATAATGTCAAAGAACCGTTTAAGTTGTTTAAGCTTTCTATAAAAATTAACAAGAAGATAAAAGAAGTTTTTGAAAAAAAAACAATGCTTGAGATGATGGTTTTCCTAAAAGATGAAGTCATTGTTGTTTTGGGATTCGCTTTCAAAGAAAATACGAATGACATTTCAGACTCCATTAGAATATATGTTTGGGACTATTAAAAGAAAAGGCATTGGTTCGGGTTGTTCACTCTTGGGTCCATGTTGGGGTTATAGAGACATGTTTCTCTTCTAGGTTTGTGAATCCGGCAAACTAAAGTTATGAATTGTAACCAAATGGCCGCAGCTTGGAATGGAGATGATGCCATATGTGTGCCAATTAGGTCCAATTTTTTTGTGTGACACATTGTTGCCAACATCATTGATAATATGATCAATCCAAAGTTTTTTTTACTTAAGCTGCCACATGGCTCTCTCATGAATAATTTAAAAAAGAACTTTGGATTGTTCATATTATTCATGTTGTTGTCAACAATGCAGCACGAAAAAATTGGACCTAATTGGTTAACATTTATAACTTGTAGTTCGCCGGAATTCACAAACCTAGAAGAGAAGCATGCAAACATATAGTGCAGCGGAGTCCGACATGTCATTCGTATTTTCTTTGAAAGCGAATCTCAAAACAATAATGACTATATCTTTTAGGAAAACCATCATCTCAAACATTTTTTTTTGTACAAAATCCTCTTTTATCTTATTAATTTTTATAGAAAGCATAAAAAAGTGAGACGGTTCTTTGAGATTCTACTCCTCACACAAATACGCAGCAAACTGTATGTCCCTCTGCAATGAGGGTCCGCCTATAACACCATGAGACTTTGGTATTCGGTGCAATCTCCTGTCCCCTTGAACAACATTGGTTACATCAAGCATATCTACCCTAACTTTTTGACTAATAGAAGCTATAATATTGCTGATAATCCCGTTCAATCCAAGGAATATGTTGCTAGCAAATTTCTCCACCTCCACCCCACTGCAAAGATTAATAATCATAATGATGGAGTATATTCTCATACATCCCAAGGGTATCAACTTTCACGAACAAAGAGAGGCTCCAGAACACCAAGTTAATATTCCGCCGAGGCCGACCTCGACCCACCCGAGGTCGTGCCAACATTGACCCCCCAGATTATCAAGACAAGATCAAATCTGAGCTCAACACCCGTCGAGGTCGGCACCAAATCTGACCTTGATCACGGGTACGAAGTCAACGGGAGTAATGGAACCATCATTACCGGACAAATAGAAGACCAATATCGAATCCTCTTGTGACAAGCTCACTGCATCTGAGCTCTGACCTTGCAAAGCTCGTGGCGTCACTAGCTAGTTGTGGACTTAGACATTTCAACAATCAAGTATCGCGCAAGCTGTAGCCACGTCACTACCACTGTACAAGGCCAACGCTACCCTGATAGTTATCACAAATAATATTTCGGATCGTACACGTTTGGCACACATGTGAGTTCCGGTACAAATCTGTTACACACTCACACAGTACCAATTAGCTAGCTGTGTCAGATATCTCTCCAATCATCTTTACATGTGTCACCATGTTATTAGACTAGTACATTTATTCTGTTAGGCAGGTGGGGTACGTGTCTTCACCACAATAGAGTAACATCTTTTTACTTGTTGTTCAAGTATTTCTCCCTTACTATAAATATCACCTCCCAGCTTGTTGAAAAGGATCTGAATCTTGTTGTATGAACTTGTTTTTACTCTGCCCAATTTACTACCCAATCTTACTTATCACTTTTCAATCTCTCCTAGTTCAGCAATCCATCACGTAACATGATTATTCTTCAACCCAATCATAAAACTGCATGATATCTTTTATAGGACTGCCTGGGGTTTTAATTCCAAACACAACTCTATTCGGGTTTAGAAGGTTTTGAAAGGCAGTCCCCTACTAAAAAATTCAGGGTTGCTAAAGATGATATGCTGAGCTGCATAGATATTACTTGACAACATCGTGCGCATTTCAAATTGTACAACGGATTTGTCTATCACAATTTTAGGCACTTAGGTTCCCGAATTTGACAAACCATTTTCGCCCACTTATTATATTCTAATAACCCTCTTTTCCTCGGACCTTCCACTTTAGTTTTCAACTCAATGGCTAAAAAGATTACCTCTGCCATTCCAATAGTTTCTTCTATATTTTATATGAACGTGACTTTATTTCCGTGGTATGGCTGAATAAACTGTTGCAGACCAAGTTCATAAAAAGGGAGTTTTTCACTTTGTCATCTGTTTATCATATCCTTATCATCATCCACTACAGTGATGTTGATGTTCGACACTCATTGAGTAAAACGAGCATGCTAAACTCTCATATCCTCCCAGCTTCTATGCAACATATCTCCCTCCGATTATCTTTAGACATAAATGAAATTGTTGGAGGCAAGAAGTTGCAGATTAGCAGGGTTTCAAAGTGAGTTGAGTGCTCTTGAACTCAAGCAAACAGTTCGGGTTTCCAAAGATACTAACTCTAAATGGACTAATTAATTTAGGTGGCTCAAATTTCTACACATAGGCATGGTGTAGAAACACACCCGCAATAATTAATTAAGTTTTTTAGAACTAGATTGGTAAAATTGAAATAGGATGAATTGACTGATTATGTTGAAATTAACTAAAATTTGTTTGGAACGGCGGAATTTGTTGAACTATGAAACAATTATATTTATAATATATTTTATTAATAAAATAAAAAAATTATATAGAGGTAGTTAAAATGATCATGTACACCATCTTCAGTTAATTCATTTAGAAAAGTAAGTAATTTCAACCTTACTTATTATGATCATTACACATTTCAGTACGCGAAAATAAAAATTTACGTGTTTGGTTAAAAATTGGATTATAAGACGGCTTAGCCAAAAAAATTGGCCAAATGGGCTCTTAATGCAATTAGTCAAATTAGTTTAAACTGTATTTTTATAATACATTATAATACATATTATATCTGTTACAACTTTAGTAACTTTTACTTTTTTATTGTTTCACAAACTTTATCACTTTACCTTTTTTTTTTGGTTTTTGTTAATTATCGTTCATCTGGATAAACCCCAATCCCACAGTTTCACTACAAAAAAACAAGGACTGTCACATCATGAACCATAGATGGCATAGAGTAAAAATTCCGTGACAAAAGTTTTGTCACAGATTATTTCCGTGACATCACACCCGTGACATCACGGAATCTATAGGAGCGGGCCTGTGGATGGAGTATAAAGATGTCTCTTATATAAATCAATGACTATAAGGAAATGTACATTTATAAATGAAATCTTGCATCAACAGAACTCAAAGAACAATTCAAAATAAAAAAGCAGCACTAGAAGTAATATTCTAAAATTTTACTTCTAAAAACGACTATTGAACACAATTCTGAAGTGGTATCTCTCAAGGTGATTCCTTGTCACACAAATTACACAAGATATATTGTACTCCGTAGGTTCCCAAAAACATTTACGTTTCATGCATTGAAATCCTTGGCAAGAAATTATTATAACTTGCACTCTAAATTCCTTTCTAAGAACATTAAAATAAATCACTATTATGCTACATATCATGTTGGAGTTGTCTAGCTACTTTACATACTTGATCCATGATCCATCTCAATCTGCTTGTAATTGTTGGAGGAGCCATGTCACTGGTAAAAAGATTTTGGAAGCAGAAGCAACAGAGCGAGAACATCTTTGATTGTATGATGCACAGGACTAAGAAGCCTTCTATTGGACTTGAGAAGAAGATGAAGGTTGTTAGCAGGGGAAAAAGGTGGAATGAGATGCCACATGATATTCTGGTTGACATAATGAAGTGCATAGGTTATTTTCAGAAGACTTGCATCATAAAGCATATGTGCAAGTCATGGCTATCTGCTCTGTTAGACTCTGTTTTCCCACCGGGAGATGTGCTTGACCTGCCCATTTTTGATAAGATGGTGCTCAAACAACGCAAATAGTGTATGAGAACTACCTCTGGATGGCGGTCAAACGACGCAAATACACCAAAGTTTTTCCCCCTCAACTCCCCTTCAGGCGAGAGCTCTATGAGGGGATAGCTAAAAGGTACCTCATCTGGAAGGCCATTCATATTGATCATAATGCTTTAGTGAGGCCTTGGATTGGGATAAACTCTAGAGTCTCTAGTAGTCACATATGCAATACAATCTTACAACTTTCTAGTTATTATTTAATGTTTTATGGTCTATATTCAACTTTGTTTCTGTTCGACATACTTTGACCTTGTTCTCTCCTTTCAGAGATGCCCTTTTCCTGCACCAGCCTTTTTAAATGCTTTTTCATAAGTCGTAGCTGCTTCTGTGTATTATGTCCAAGTCGCCATTTGTCTTTTCTGAAATTTCAACCTGAGAAATGTTAGTTTTAAGTTTTAAAGTGCTACACTGGACTGTGTAAAGTTGCAATTCAATCTTTTCCCATTTTTTCAGCATCACCATGGAATCAAGAACTAAATTACCCAGCTTGTTAGTTGATCCCAGCCTGAGATTGGTATTTCTGGTTTTGGTTAATGTCTATGTATTCTAAACCAGATTTTGAGTATAATCTATTGCAAAGGATCATGAGAGGTATTTTCTAGGTGTTAGTTTGCAGGAGTCCTACATCACCACATGGGCTTTAACAATGAAGGCTACAGTATTTTTTTATGCGTATTCATTGGTTTTGATGTCGGTTGCACATGACTAGAAGGAAATAACTTTGTAATACTTTCTGATCACTCCTGGAAATTAAACCAAACAGATGAAGACAGGTCTTGCTTTCAGCAAAACACTAGAAGATGGAATCGGTTTCCAGAAAATGACTTTTTTTTCTGGAAATTATTTTCCCAGAAACATCTGCTTCTGAAACAGACAGTAAAATAAACAGACCCTATAGAACTGTGCTCTGGTTTGACCTCAATTTCATCCATGCTAGTACATTTAAACAACAATATCAACATTAGGAACTTGAACTTACCCTTCATTATAGTTGCTTCACAATCTATATTGGAAAAGATTTGCTATCAATAGTAGAGGTCATCAGCACTACCTATGTGGAGACAAGAGGAAGTTGCATCCAAGCTTCCTAATCATCTCCATATCTTCTCATGTCTATTTGTTGGAGAGCTCCTTCCATGAAGGTGTAAGATGTCTCTTGGCAACTTCCAAGAAAGGTGGAAGAATCCTACAAGATCATCCTTATTGTATCAATACAGGGGCATGACATGTCGGGGATTTTGATTTTCTTACGCCATCCAAGTATCCAACCCTGTCAAGGCAAACATCATTGGGGGTGGGTGCAAATGTGCAATTGTGCAAAACAATTGGTGTTGTAACTTTCAACTTATTCAGTAGGATTAGTGTTGGATTTGGGTCGGGCCACCCGGCCCGTGGACCGGCCCGACCCGGCCCGTGGACCGGCCCGACCCGGCCCGGTTCTCGGGTCCAGGTAGTTGCCCGAACCGGGGGGTGGAGCGGGTACAGGCTCGGGTCGTAGGTTTGGTGACCCGGCCGGGCCGGGGCCGGGTCTGGGCCAAACGGCCGTTTTTTTTTTTTTTTTTTTTTTTTTTTTTTTTCCTTTTCAGCTCTAAAGAGCCGTTTGGCTCTTGACCCACATCCCAAATGGCTATATAGCTGTTGGGTGGGTACCAGGGGGGTCCAAAGCTTTTGGGGGGTGGGGGGTTAAAAAAAACTATATTTTCTAACATTTTTCTACACCTCTTCTCCATCTTCAATCTTTATCTTCTCTTATTATCCTACATTCCTACTTATACATCTACCATTTTCAAGATGGAAAGTAAATCTTCCCTTGTGCAAAACAATTTTGATATGTGGAAGGACCCGAAGACCGGGTTGTGGTAGGCAACTTGCAGGTGGTGCAAAAAAGAGTGTAGCTTGGGGCGTTCACACGGATACGGGATGCCAAGAAAACATATCAAGTCCTGTGACAAAGGAAAAACAACAACCATCGGTGGCGGAAATTCCGATTGATATTTATTAGAAAATTTATTTCATATTGTAATTTTTTCTCAATTCTCAAATGTAGTTCCTATTTCAAATAAATGTACTTGAACTTTGTTTTTAATAAAAATTTGTATAAACTATAAATTAAAAAAAAATTAAACATGACCTGGCCCGGCCCGACGCGTGGCCCGACCCGTGACCCAGGCGGGTGACCCAGCCCGAACTAGCACCGGCCATAGCACTAGGCCGGTCCCGGGCCTCCTTCAAAAAACCCGAGGCCCAACCAGGCCTAGGCCCGGCCCGGGCCTGACCTGGCCCGGGTCCATGACTAAGTAAGATAAATTACATCCTCTATGTAGGGCAGTAGGACTGTAGGAGTGAGCCTTTGTTTGTCACTTACTTCGTATTATTCAAGTGTTGTATGGTTCGTTGGAATTTTATCAATCTAGACAAATTATCAATCTTGGACTTGAATGATGAAATGTATCAGTATAAGACCCGCATGATGGAAAACTATCAATCTGAGACTCGGATGATTGAAAATTATCAATTTAGGACCAGAGTTTTCATAAATTTTATTACTTTTCTTTTCTTTTTTATAGAAAAATTTAAATAATATTTAATTTTATTAAACTAATAAACTTTTGTGAAGAAAGATTCACAAAATATTAACAATGGAATTAATAAAAAATTAAATAAATCAAACCCTATGACATGTTAGGTCCCAGATTGATAGTTTTTCATCATTCAATTCTTATAGCGATACATTTCATCTTTTAGGTTTATTGTTTTTCATCATTTGAGTCCTAATTTGACACGTTTGATATATGGTTGTCTATTTGACCCTTTCCTTATGAAATCGAGAAATATAAACAAACTACTTGTAACTTTAGGATGACAGAAATGTTGGTACAATAGAAATCTGACACGACAAAACACAACTGACAACTCCATTAAAACATATGACATGGATATTGTGGTTTTGAAATAATTGTAATTATAAAAATATCTATGGACTTATTTGACAATACTACGCATATTTGTTTATAAACAAGAGTACTTTATATGCACAAAACTAAGTTATGTAACGGAATATTGTTGGTACACGTTTTTACCTTAAAGTAATACGCTAGTATATTATAGAATGTTAAAATTATAAGTTCCTATTACTAGTTGAATACACAAATATGTTGAATGTAAATTTTTCATGGGAGAGGATTAGAGCATGTAGATCCTTAAAAGGTTTCATCCAATCCCATGAAAAACTGATGACGACGTTCGTCCTTGTGTCTCTGCTCCAATAGGGTGGACAACTCACACGAGAGAGGCTCAACATCATAGAGGTAAACAAAAAACCTTTTGAGTTCGCCATTGAAAACTGAAGTAGTCAACACTCCGCAATGTCACGTTGTGTGGTAAAATCTATTTGAAAATCAACATCTTAGTCATAGAACACTATTATATACGTGCTGATGTGCATAGAACATTATGACATGTGCACACAAGCACTGCACACACAAATATTGATTCACAATTTCACATGTCAACATTGACTTGTGCGTCTGTCAACATAGTTTTTGACATGAAAACTAATGCATGTGGACACAACCAAGAGTTGTTTGAATGCACAAACAATTCTTGTACGTGCTCAAAAGCAGGTCCATATGATAGCACATCAATGGTAAGTGTCCAATAAGTGTGTACAAAAGATGTAACTCTTTGTGTGCAACTGTGCACCAAGTATTATTGAATTTAGATAAAGTAAAGTAATAAAACCAGAATGCTATACAGAATAAATATCTTCAATTCGATCATTTCATTTTATATATTCTATTATTATACTCCCTCCGTCTTGAATTGTAAGACGATTTATGGTTTACGATGTTTGACGGACAATAGAGCAAACAGATCCCTGTCTGCACTTAAATTAATTTTAGAAAAAATATATTATATATTCAGGAACTACATTAAAAGCTTTAGAAAGACGCAAAAACATGAATCAAATTTGATAAAATTGATATAAAAAGTAAGAGATTAAAAGTTATTTGTGTTGATTAAGTAAATATGAAACACATCTTACAAAATGGGAATGAGGGAGTAATTATCTAGAAGATTGGTGTGACTCACTTGGATGAACATCCAGTTCCAAGTCTCTCTTTAATGAGAGGTCTTGGACTCGATCCCTACTTAGGGAGATGATTATTTCTACCTACTAGCTGTTTACATGCACAATGCGCGTGATCCTATGCCCAACGCATGAATTGAAGTTTGATCTTATTTTCCTTTTAAACGTGTTTAAAGATTAATTAAAATAGAAAGTATTTAAATATTTATTATTTAATAGAGTTGCTACACTATAATCGTACAGTGTAAACAAACCATTAATAAGGTTGGCAGTTTAGAAATGTGGTTTGAGACTTGAGTTGTTTAGTTAAGGCCGAAGTCTGTGATTTCATTTATTTAACTACTCAAATCATTACACTGCAAATTTCCGAAAACCATTTCTCAGCCTATTGATACGTGGTTACCATTTAAAATGAACAAAATAGATCACCCACAGTCACCTTTATACTACTTCTCCATAGCCTATGATCCTACGATATGTGGTTACCTGGTTAGTGGTTACTACTGAAAATGAACAAAATAGAGAACCCACAATCACCTAATGCCTCAACGGGCCCCTAAGTTAATACTGCTATTTATGAAACTTTAGTCTTTGAATTTAAACATCTATAAAGCAGAGAGAACAGCCCTTGATACCTGCACTAAATTAATTTATGCTCTTAGAAAATGAAATCCATACACAGTTTCTCAAATGCACACAATTTACTTGAGAGATAAAAATTCACAAATGACTTTTTAGTAGGAATGAACAAGTTTTTTTAAGAATAAAGATGATGAGAAATACTTACACTTTCATCTTGTAATATTATAGGCTTGTATAACTTGTCAGGACTACTTTTTGACTCCCTTGTGTTATGTTTTTCGACAACACAAACTTTGCAACTCCATGGACTGACATCGGATTTCACTTCAGGGATCAAAAGCAGGTTGGATGCCATTCTAATGATTAAACAATGGAAAAAGTAAAGTGTTTGGAGGAAGTAATTGTGAACCACGAACAGGAGAGATTAAAATGAAGAAATGATAAGTGAAACAACGCGGAACCATAAATTTTAAAAGCATAGTTGTGTATACTTGTGGGGTCAAAAAGGTCTTTAATAAACTTTCCAACAACAATGTGAAATCTATTTTCCTATGGAACAGAAAATATATCTCAATATGTACTCATTTGAGTAAAGTAAAACAGTTTGTAGTGGTGATATGTTGTGTGGATACTGATCAACACCCAACGGCAGGTAGACATGAGCTCGATGGTCAGGTTCTTAGAGAGACTTGTTCGACTCTTCGAGAGTAACATTAAGAGGGGTATTAGAACCATAACTATGCAAATTAGTTTGAGGTCCAGTTCAGGTATATCAGCATTGTGCTTTAGCCTTTCATATTTTATCCGAACTAAAATTGGAGCCGAGTTAACTGGTATTGGATATTGGCCTGGAGCCGATTAAACGTGTTATTGGTTTAGTTTTTATACCCCTAAGACATGTTCCAGTTCAGAGAATGAAACCAGCTCCACTGTTAGTGGAAGCAGTTGGCTGGGAATCTTAGCCATCCATGCTTGGAAAATACAAACTGTTTATTAAATTTGAGCTTTGAAAATACAATTTCTTCACAAGGGCAAAAAATGTTCTCCATAGTCCATATAACTCAAAGAGTTTGTTAATTTGATTCAAATGAGAGACACCCCCGTTTAGGCAAATGTGGAGCAACCAATTAACTACCTCTTTAATGTTCCAATGTTATTACGTTAATAACAGAAACCATTAGTCAAACAACCTCAAGCCGTTGAACTCACAAACACATAATAAGTGAGGCAAACAACTCAACTGCAATTAAGCTAAATAGAATGACAACACAATGGAAATCTTATAGGACTATGCAAAGAAAAGAAAGCACAAATGTGTTCAGCGGAGGTGGGAATTATTTACAGCCATAAGCACAACCCTTGAATTTCCCAGGGATCGTTGAGTAAACATGGCTGTGCGGCAGCAAATCCGAACGAAAAAGAAAGCGAACAAACCGGTTGGAGCAACACATACGGCGTGGTACAAGAACGATCATCAAGAGAAATTTAATAGCATTAATTAACTTAATTGAGTTCTTATGAAGGATCATCGACTCAAGCTCTTAGGTCCCCCCCCCCCCCCCCCCTTACAGGCCTCCCCAACGAAGGAGATGTGCGGCTTAGCTCTGGAGTTAACGACTTAACGGAAGTTAAAAAACTTACGGAACGTAAGGGCAAAAAAGCCACGTGAAAAAATAGGGTTCCACCTTCTAATAACAATGTACAACTACACATGTTCTAAATGTGTTGATATAAATGTGTACAACTACACATGTTCTAAATGTGTACCAACCTCTATTCACAATTAATAGTTGTCACAATTAATACTCCCTAGTTGTTAGATGATGAAAGCCAATCAATTAGACTCTTAAAAGGACACTCAAACTGTTGCCAATAAGACGGTTTGTAGTGGTTAAAAATTAGGAGTCAAAAGATTAAAATTGGAATTTTTAGACTCTTATTTATGTGTAGTGGGGGATTAAAAGAGGGAGTAAAAGTGGGAATGGTAGTGGAGCAGTGTAAAAATAGAGGGAGGAGTTGACAGAGCAAAAATAAATGAAAAAGAAAAGAAAATAGGGGGACCGGCCAACCTGCGGCTTCGTACGCTGCAAAGGAAACATAGCTTGCATCATGTTGACGTCATGATGATGTCATTGCGCACTAAGTTAATAAGCTAAACAGCCAGATTTTTTTTAAAAAAAACTTTTTGAAAGATCCAAAGTTGAGATCCAACTTTCGAAAAAACGTAAAAAAAAAAATTAAATTTAATTTTTTTTACATCAAAATATGTATTTTTTATTTTATAATTATTCAGGAAAAAATTAAAAGTAAAAAATTACTTATAATAATTTAATTAATGTTTTACTAAATTGATTTGTAAAAAATGTGCAGAGTGTATTTTATTGACGGTAAACGGATGCAGGGAAAAATAGTATTGACGGAGTCTAAACAC